TGCCCAGCTGGTCAGCTCACCTGAGGTTCCCTTTGTTGGTGGCATACTTGACGTGGTTGCAGATGTAGTTGAACATCCCGTGGGCTGTGGTGCAGTCGCGAGCATCGAATACCTGGAAGAGGCGCAGGGTGGAACTGATTGCCTCTTCTTTCCCTCCCTAGTTCCCCAGCGTAATCTTCCCATTTTAGGAGAACCCAGATCCCACTCCAGCTACTGCTCCATTGGTGAAGTGGGCACCTCATTACTGAGTCCCAGGCTGCATTTTATATTTTCTCTTTTCTATCCTAATAACCAAGGCCAATTTGAGCAGGAAAAAAAAAAAAATCCCCTAAAAGTAGGCATGGCATGTAAGCGAACATGGGAAAGGAATAGTAAATGAAGGGGAGTTTAAATGTGTTGGTTACATTTTCTGTTAGGTTACTAGGGATTAGGGATTTAAAAAAAAAAAAAAAACAGAAGAATAATCAAATAAAATCCCCCTGATCTTGATAACAAATCTACTTCCAACTTTAAACTATTTCCTAAAATAAAATCATAACCAAGGGACACAGAAACGAATGCCTTCAGGGAGTAGGCAGATAAATAAGCTGAGTAGGTGCAAGACAAAAGGGAATGGTGAGGTCTGCGGTCAACTGAAAAGTATAAGCCCTCCCTTTCAAGAGATATGCAAGTTCATTTTTGCAAAAGCACTGCGTTGGCTAAATAAGACATGATTATCATCTAGAGCTGGCTGTGATCTTAGAATGTGGGACCCCATGACCACCATCTGATAGGTCACCATGGCCACCAGGTACACTTGATAGAACCTTATCCTTTTTAAAGCTCCATCCACTCCCATTACCCTCTTCCTTCATTTATGGGCTCTTCAAGGTATCTGACTTCACTACCTACCTGCAGCTTGGACCACTGGATCCTGCCCACACAGCGCGAGGCATTCCGCCAGGCATGCTTGGCTCCGTAGATGAGCTCTGTATCCTTGAGCTGGTAGGTGCTAGTGGTTTCGATCTCTTTGTTCACCTCTTCCAGCCTTTCCATGTGGGCTTTGGAGCCAAATCTGAATGAAGAGGAAGGGACATGGGAACATCACCCCGTCTTCTGAATTAGAAGTTGGTGGAAGGGGAGAGCTATTCCAAGAGGCTGGAAGCTACAAAAAATTCCAAGTTGACTTCTGGATGCAACAGTTTGATTTCTGGATGCAAGATAAAGCAGACACTGCAAACTCAAATGCCCACAAAGGCTGAACATTGTACATACAACTCAACCAGCTGGGTGGGGACTGTGGCAAACAGGTGAGCCAGGCCTTTTCCAAAGCGGGCAGCCATGACTCCACTCCTGCCACTTGTCACCTGACAGGAGCAGGGGCCCATGACTGCCAAATCTTTCCAGAGAAACTGGAAATCTGACTTTTAAAGGGAACTCTGCTAATTTTTAAATATTGGCAATGAATTCAATTTTAGAAAGTTAAAAAAAATTTCTACCAAAAATTTTTGGTTTACAGAAAGGTATATAGGATAATATAATAAACCCCCATGTCCCAAGCCTAAAAAATAATGTAATAGTTTCTTGGGGAAGGCTTCCCCAAGGTAGACAATTCTCTCCCCAGAAGTGACTGCTATGTTGAACCTGGCGTTTACCATTCCCACACACTTGTTTATATCTTTGCCACATGTGTATCTATCCTTCAACCATGTACAATGTCATTCTGCATGTTTAAAGCATTCATATAGGCTGGGTTTGGTGGCTTACATAATCCCAGCACTTTGGGAGGCCGAGGAGGGTGGATCACTTGAGGCTAGGAATTTGAGACCAGCCTGGCCAACGTGGCAAAACTCTGTCTCTACAAAAAATAAAAAAATTAGCTGGGTGTGGGGGCGCATGCCTGTAATCCCAGCTACTCAGGATGCTGAGGCAGAGAATTGCTTGAGTCTGGGGGGCAGAGGTTGCAGTGAGCCAAGATCATGCCATTGCACTCCAGCCTGGGTGACAAAGCAAGACTCTGTCTCAAAAAAATACATCAATAGAAAAATTCATATAAATGGTGCTATACTGGATGTATCCTTTTATAATTTATCCTTTCTTTTGCTCAAAGTTAGCTATGAACTGCAGTTCCATTAACATGCAGAGCACTAATCCCTTTGATTTTTATGGTTGTATAGTATTCCATCACTGGAATATACCACAACTTACCCATTCTACTGTTGATGGCATTTATGTGGTTTCTTTTTCTTTTCTTTTTCTTTCTTTCTTTTTTTTTTGAGATGGAGTTTCATTCTATTCACCCAGGCTGGAGTGCAGTGGTGTGATTTTGGCTCATTGCAACCTCCATCTCCTGGGTTCAAGCGATTCTCATGCCTCAGCCTCCCAAGTAGCTAGGATTATAACTGTGCACCACCATGCCCTGCTAATTTTTGGACTTTTAGTACAGGTAAGGTTTCACCATGTTGGCCAGGCTGGTCTTGAATTCTTGGGCTCAAGCGATCTGCCGCCTTGGTCTCCCAAAGCGCTGGGATTACAGGCGTGAGCCACTGTGCCTGGTCTCTTGTTGGATCTTTAATGTTAATTTTTTCCTGCTACAAACAATGTTTCAGTGAACATTCTTACTGATGGTTTCTTGTGAACAGGTGTGAGAATTTCTCTAGGGTATGTATCTAGGCATGGAATTGCTTGAAATTTTTCAAATTATAAGCAGCCCTTTGCAGGTGAAACAAAAGCACTTCTGGGGAACAGATGTGACCTGTGGGTAGCCAGTTTTAAGCCTCTGTGTATGGCAGAGGCCTTGTGCTTTGGCCTTGTGCTTTGGCCTTGGTTTGCAAAGTTAGGGCTGACATCTTTGTCTCCAGCATTCGATAACTTACCTTGGGCTCCCCAGAATTGACATACACTTGCCTTTTAATTGATGAATAGTATTGATCAATAAACTCTTTGGCGAGAGGGAAGAGCTGTTCTTTTGTGCGGACATCTTCAGGCCTCCGTATATGCTGAGAAGGAAGCATGATGGAGCCCATGCAGATGTACTCAGTGCATCCCGTTTCCTGGAAAATCAAGAGATTTGGGCTATTGCTTGGTTTTACCCAAGAGTGGCAGGTGTTAGGCTGTGGGCTTGGATCTCATATTCATGGTTGAATTTACCTGGCCCTTAATTCCCAGAGGCAATTTCTCAAGTACCAGCTTCAAATCCTTGCTGGATATGGTCATAGCCATGTTAAGGAACACTAAGTAGCATTTTCAGGTTCCTAAAGTATTTGCTCTACTCATCTTGGGAACAGAAGCTTTTTGACTAGGAATCAGAATCACTGGTACTAAAATCTGAAATATTTTTAGATTTTGCATGATGATCAAAGAAGAACTAATACAGTGGCTACAGTAACTCATTTGAATGCATCTATGATAGATTGATTGCAAAATAGGGCCCTAATTTTTCCCCTTCCTGTATTCACATCCTTTGGGATGTGGCTTTACAGCAATTCTCCATGAAGAAGTGGAGCCTATCCCTTAACCTCTTGACTCTGGGCTGGTTTGACCCTTAGGATGTGGCAGAAATGACCCTGTGACAATTCTGAGTCTAGGCCTCAAGAGTTCTTGCATGTTTCTGCTCATCCTCTTAGAATCCTGCAACTACATGTGAACAAGCCCAAGCCAGCTTGCTGGAAGAGGAAAGACCACATGGAACAGGGCTGAGTTATCTCAGCCAGGACCATCCTAGACCACCCTGACCTTAGTTGACCCCTCAGACGTACCTACAGATGTACGAGAAAGCCTCACCAAAATCAACAGAGTCTGGACCAGATCACTAAACCACCCAGCCAATCCGTAGACTTTTGAAAAATTATACATAGTTTTAATAGTTGTTTTCACCCAATAAGTTTCGGGGCAATTTGTTACATTGTAATAGCTTGCAGATACCATTCCTCCAAGAGGCCCAGGTTCAACAAAAATTTAAAACAATATAGCGGTTTGTTGACTATTAAAAATATGAAACAAAAATATTGAGGACACACTGTGAAATCAAGGAAGGCTTTGTTCAATACTCCACCAGTGGTCAGACTATGAGAGACAGAGAGGGTATTCACAAACAGCAACTCTTCTTAGATTCTTTTGCATACCGGGTTCACGAATAAAAAGCATTTACATAAGAGAGTGAGAATTCACCAGTGGTTCTCAAACAGGGGTGAATTTCTTACCCAGGGGATGTTAGGTAATGTCTTGGAGACTGCAAGTGTTGAAGAAGGAAGAAAGAAACATGAAAAGTGGCTTAACAATCAGAGACAGGTTTATTTTAAAGAATGAACCTGAGAGGGGCTTCTGGCTGAGTTAGGTTAGGAGCACTCTTTTTTTTTTCTTTAAGTTCCAGGATACATGTGCAGGTTTGTTACATAGGTATACATGTGCCATGGTGGGCACTTAACAACCCATCATCTAGGTTTTAAGCTCTGTATACATTAGGTGTTTGTCTTAATGAGGAGCACTCTTTTCTACAGACTAAGAGTATTTAAGGGTTTAGGGTGATAGAGTTTATCACAAGCTTGAAATGTTTCTGTGTCTCTTTGTCTTGCTTATCTGGGAGGGAGAATTTTTGTGTCTGTTCCCATACATTTTCCTGCAGCTGCAGGCATATCCCCCAAGTCTGCTTTTAGCTTCCCTATCTTAGTGCATCTAAAGGGAAAG